ATGCTGTGTGCTAATCATCATCATCTATATTTTAAAGTAATGAATCAAAGCTAAATACATTTTGTTATGTCGTATGATGCTTCCTGAAGTTGAATATCAAGTATTTTTTTACTTTAGATATTTTCCTTTATAGCGTGGAATTTTTGAGTAAACAAACATTTGTTCAAATATGAAAAAATCATTTTATTCTTTAGGCGGGTAGTCTCAGCAATCCAGACTACTTATGTATGTCACTGGAAAGAACAGATTTTTAGGATTGCGTTGTTCTGTAACAACTTAGAGTTTTAGTGTTTTGTTTAATTTATTTGTTTCAGTGGCTATACTATTGCAAGGGTACTTATTTACTCTGCCTAAATTGTGAGTAAGCAAACCTCAAGTTTGTGCTGAAATAACCCACCCAGTGAAAAAATCGGCTTTGCTGGGGAATGACTCATTTAGGAGTCATCACTCATGCAATTATTTGCTAAACTTAAGGCACCCTTTAAAAGTTTGTGATAGTTGTAGGCATAAAAGAAAATTGCCTGTAATGAAAGTTTTGTGCTGAGAAATGCACTCTGGTCATTCTCCAGAAGGCAGGATATCCACTGGGAGTCATGTGCACAGTTCTTGCCTCAAATGAGGAAACATCTTGGAAACATTAGCATGTCTGCCCTCCTAGGGAATAGATCCAGTATGTTTTTGCTGGGATATATGATCGACACTCAAGAAGGCAGGCCCTCTGTGAAGGAGGAGTTGGGTGTTTGCAACTCATACTGAAATCTCTCAAAGCAGAGAACTAAGCAGAGTGATAAAAGACCACTGAGGGGCAGACGTCTTGGAGACCAGAGTTAAATAAACCTCAGATCAGTTCCCAGTACACTGAGAGACCAGGCCTTCTCTTTTGTTACTTCTAGCTGTGGAAGGATTTCTCAAATCAGATCCTTCAAGTCAATCAGCACTTTCAAATCCAATCTCAAACTCCTTTTTATTCTCTATCTTTTAATCCTGTTTCATGTTTACAGCATATGTTTGTGTATACCTGTCTGTTTTGTATGATTGTTTTTTTGTACTATACAGTACCTTGAAATTATGTATCATAAAAGGTGCTTATTATGTTCTTCTTTTTCTTCTTAATTACTATTCATAATTTGTAATCCTTTTTACTAAGTTGTTAATATTTGCATAATTGTGTGTGTGTGGGGGGGGGGGGTTAAACCTTATTTAAACATACCCTTCCTGTGCTTGAAAAATTCATTATTTTCTTTATGATCTGTTCTCTCGAGCAAACACCATATTATTTGAATAAAAACCTTAAAAATGAAGACTACTATCTTGCAGAAAAGGGTTGGATGAGATCTTTGAATCATTTAGCTACTAAGAGACAAACAAGATGAGCTGACCTATTTGAAATCTATTTTTCGTTTTTTATTTGTTTTAGAGGCCTCTCAAGATAAGTCAGTTTTATAGAAAGGACTCATCTTCTTATGACTCTTAAGCAGAGATCTTGTAACAAAGTGGGTGCTTGATGTAACACAAATAGAGTAATGAACATGACCCATTATTTGTGTAGGCCACAGCCTAGTTATGTTGGGAGGGCAGTACTGGGATTTACTGTTATACTATTTATACAGTTTAATGTTAATTTTATACAGTAATGTTTGTTAGAAAGGAAAACCTGAATGAGCACGATAGTGCTGTACACAAATACAATTCTATTTTGAATTTCAGAAATATCTTTGCTTTAGTAAGATTATTGTGAAATACAAAGATACTCTGGTTTGTTAAAGCATTCTTATTATATACAGTACATGCATTCTGCTTTTATGAATATATACAGTATTCATTGCATTCTAATGTTTAATCATCTTCAAAATATTATTAAACCACTAAAAGGAAACAAGTCTACATTACAAACAAGCTTTTGGATTGTTCTGCCTTATCATGTTGGAAAGAAAAACATAACGTAAACAGTGTGGATATGATTTAGTGAAATGTTCTTATTAAATTTCAAGGTTCCGCCCACATACTGTATGAAAGATCTGGGAAATATTCACTTGGATCAGGCTTTTGTTTGATACATTTGTTTAGTAATGAAAATGCATTTTGAATATCCATATGGAAAAAATCTAAATCTCAGAATAGTTACGATCATTTTTTTTTTGTTTCAGAAGTAAAACATGTTTGATTTTGTAGGAATTCCTCTGGAGTCACTGTCCTTTTGTTCCTGGGCAGATCTGTTGTGAGATTTACAGTTGTATTAGCATTGTGTGATTTAATTGATTTTGCTTTGTTAGTCCTCACAACAAATTCCATACAGCATGCATTTAATTAATGCTGACAGACAGAAATATTGTTTTTGGCAGAAACATTATCTGATCTTCTCACTCAGAACTTCATTTTGGACACTGCATGGTGAAAGTACACAGTACGCGTATGCCCTTTAAACAAACTGTATACTTGGAGCAATTGCAGACACACTACTGGCAGTTTATTTACTTTTGCAAGTATTTATCTTTGCATGCTACAGTCATGCTCTAACTTTGTTCATTGGCCCATTTACTGAAAGATATAAGCTGACATTAAGATGTATTTTAAGATCCAAACAAACCATATAATGTTTGCACTTGAGTGTGGGATTGGGTGTTCAACTAAAATCTGAACCATATTTGTAGCTAGACATTCATTCATCCATTTTCTAACCAGTAATTCCAATTCAGGGTTGCGAGCAAGCCAGAGCCTGCAATAGACGGAAGAGTACATCCTGGATGGGCAGCTGGTCCATCACAGGGCAGATATACAGATACACACGAAGGGGCAATTTGTTCCAGAAGTCAGTTAACCTGCCAGTATGTGTTTTGGGGGAAAGCCTTGCCAACAAGGAGAACATAAGAACATGCCTATAGCTAGGTATATCTCACAGAATATTTAGATACATTTCAAAAACTCCTAACAGAATTTAAAAAGCTATAAACAACTGAAATATTTTGAGAAAGCTAAGTGATTGACTATTACAGAGCTTTTATATTTCATGTTGAATGTTGACCTAAAATTTCAAGTTGGACATTTCAGGTTATGGTGTCATGTTATATTTAGGCCCCAATTCCTCCTCCCCAAGCCAGGAAACCACTTTCATTTAAGCGTGACATTGTCATAGCATAAACATCTGGCGTGTTTTGAATTCCACAAATGTGGGGAGGATATTATATTATATTATATTATATTATATTATATTATATTATATTATATTACTTCCTGGTTGAAGTTAGAGTAATACATTTACATGCCTTGTAGCCTAAATATACCAGACTTTCGAAAGACAAAGCAGTAATCTTTGTTATAACGTACTAAGGCTGCCAACAAAAGAATCTTCCTCACATCCATTAACTGTGCACGCTTTTTTTCCTAAAGAGCAATTAAACCCCTGTTACCAAGTGCCATATACTAACAAGAGGGCAATACTAAGATCTATTACATGTCCATGGCAATTTGGGCAAAAGAGTAACACAGCTATAAATCTTTGCAGTGAGATAAATATGGCGACATGTCTGAGATTTGCTTCAAGTACTGCTCTGCTACATACAGAGCTAAGTAACAGTTTGTATAGTGTCTCTGCAGATTAGTGCCTTTAATGGCCTCCATAGCATTTTCAGCAGTGCATTAAGGCCAAGTTTTTATAATTTTTGTCAAATGCTGTTCTTCTTGGGCCAGATAAACATTTTCCCACCCCTAATGACAACTCTTAATTTATACAGATGTTACACATTTCAAGCTTGGCTAATACACTGCATTATAGTTTGGATAGTCCACAGTTTTTTAGTTTAAATTGGTTTACCTTATAGGATGCTTTTATTCAGTGCTATCTTGATACATGTTATTCAGTGGATTATCTCAAGACTTTGCTTTTTATTTTCTCCCTGCGTTGATCTCATTCTTTTTTCAATGTTTCCCAGCCTGTATGAAATTCTTTGCATTTTTTTAATACTCCCCAGTACTTGTTCCATATTAAAATGGGAGCTCTGATGGGCAAACCCCCTGCCAAGCAAGTCAGGTCTGGTATACAATTATACTGTAGTCTTTTAGAGGATGATCACTGCGGTATGATGATCTTTCTGTGTAGAATGGCACCATTGACAGAAACTTCTAAATTGCAAATCCCATTGTGAGACTTTCCAAACATCCTTCTGTCTGTTTGATGATTTTCATTTCCACAGAGGGAGGCCCGGTTACAACAGTGTCTTTTCAGGACTTCTGAATCAGACTCCAATTATCACGTCTAAATGCACTGCACCCTATGAAGACTTTTTTTCCTCCTTTCTCATTGTGATTAAGCACCCCATTTGTGTGAAGCGAATTCTTTTTTTTTTTTGGTACAGACACAACAGTTCAAAACACTTCTATGTAGACAAGAAAGTTAAAAACTTTCTTGGTTAGGAATTTTAAGTCTTTCAAAAAGAATGGCATACTCCACCCCACTGAGCTTTTCCAGCATTTCTCTCAGCAATAGTAAATGTCAGAGCTGGTTTCAGATCTATGAGCAGGAAATGTAGTCCCAAAGGGAGATGGGGAGGGGCGGGGGGTGTTGAGGAGGCGCAGGGGGGAGTTGAGGGGAGGGTTAGAATACCTCCCACTCTGGAGAGAGGAAACCGCTCAACACTACAGCAGTGCTTTCTCGCAGATGGTGAGCACTTCTGTCTTAGAACTTGTTGTTCCCGAATGCCTTGAGAGATTTTCAGAGCAACAGGACAGAGACGATCTTTTCCTAACCAGGACTTGCTTGAAGGAGAACTGAAAAGGGGAAGCGACACACCAAAAAGGAGCTGCTGACTAATTTTAGACTTCAGAAAGTACAACCACAGTACAGCGCAGTTTCAAGGAATCGCCACTTTTGGAATGGCTATAATGTCTGGATACAATTATTATTAGGCTAAGTGTCTTTCAGACAGAAACTTGGCCTCTGCCTGGGATGTTATGTATGCGCTCCTGTGAAAACCTTCAAGGTTGTTTATTTCCATGTTCTTTAGGTGTTTCAATGGAGGCAGCTGGAAAACCTTTACTTCAGAGAGAAAAAGTTTTCTGTGGAAGTTCATGACCCTCGCAGGTAAGTGCAGCCCATAGAGCACCCTTGAAGTGGAATGATGTTTAGTTAGTGTAATCCATGTCTCAGTCTATTTGTGTGAGTACCACTCTGTGTATTTATAAGCTATAATCAGGTTTGACGTGTTTTCAAATTAACATTACCTTGTGGGCATAATCAAAATGTACATCTAATGAGCTATTAAAAGTATTTGCACTTTGAATCTTTCATTAAAATCTTGCTTCTTTCATCACATTGAAGAATTTATGTAAATGAATCCTGTATTGTGTTTGGAATTACAGATATTTGAAAGTATTTGTTAGGCATTCACAAACACTGGTTTGAGGTAACCTCACTGGATACACTCTGATATGTATTTAAGATTTATTGGTATGACCACACAATATAAACATGATTCATACAAAGTAGAGAAAGTTCCTTCAGTACCTATGGAAATATAGTACAAATATAAAATGAATAAGGTAGCCAAAAAACCTAGACCTTTTTAAGAGTTTTGTTCATTTTTCTATGGCTAACAGTTTATATTTTAGGGGAAGGCTATGTTTTAATAAATGTTAAGTATACACAACAAAGTATAGTTGTGTGTGTTTATTGCTGCTTGCCTGTAAATAAAATGCTTCATCAGCATAGTATCTTGCTGCCAGGACATTGGGTAACATATAATCCTGGTGAATTTTATGTACTTTCAGAAGGTTCCTATGTGGAATAGTGCATTAGAAAAATCACACTATTATCCAAATCTGTCAGACTCTCCTCAGTTCACTTATGGTCATTTTGGCCTCCTGAAAAGAATCCTTTTCCTGCCACAAATAGTCATTTTAAACTAGATGTGACAGTTACAGGAGTGTTCTGCTTTGAACTCTAAATTTTCAGCTCTCAGATATTTTCACTTACTTTAGATATGTGATATCAACCTGTTGAACCAAAGAAATATCACATTTCAGACACACCCTAACACAGATAAGGGTTTCATGCTTATAATCAAGCAGGTGCACTGAAAACTCAGTGATATCTTTACATGGACTATCAGTTTGATTATGTTTTTAATGGCCAAACTGTCCTTAAAAATGTTAAATATTTGTCAGAGGATTACAGGATAACAGTGGAAGCACTTCAGTGTTTTTGAACCTAAAATTAATTTGCAATTTGAGTTACTATTTTGAAGCTCTGCCAGTTTCCCTGTTTTAATGAAATATGCTGTTTTTTGTTGCTGAAGTTGTTTCAGTAGACCTCTTATCTTTTATTGTTCTGCTTTAGTATTTAATGATTTCCTGCAGTATATTTAGTGTATTTGTTTCTGTTGAAGGGCTTCAGTGACTAGAAGGACCTTTGGGCACAGTGGCATTGCAGTGCACACATGGTATGCCTGTCCTGCACTGATAAAGTCCATCTGGGCTATGGCTATTAGCCAGCACCAATTCTATCTGGACAGAAAACAAAGCAAGGTAAGTGCATTTAACAGTAGATTATGGAACTGTGAAAATGTATTTTTTGCTGAGAGTACTAAAGATGTTTCTTTGCTTGCATACTCTACCTTCTACCTGTTAGTATGCAGTTTCAGTGGGGTGAAATGCAAAGAAGGGGAGGAATTCAATGTTGGGATTAATATTCTTAAAAGCCCTTTTCAAATCTTAGCCTCACTACTTCGTGTAGCAAATAACTGGACAGAGGATTAGACTTGCATATCTGAGGCAGCAGGTTGCTTGGCCTTTTTCTGCAGTCCTATGCTTCTGGAATGTGGCTTTCACTGTTACAGACTGCCTGTGTCCCATGGTGTTTACTTCCCATACTATCTAGACATAGACTATACCAAATCTGCTTCTCAGCACCACTAAATTAATGAATTAAATTCATTAAAGCCATCCAAACACATGATCTTTTTGACTGTTTTAAATACTAAAAACATCAGTTATGCACTTTTTACTAAATACAAAAAATGTCCCTTTTCTCAGCTAATATATTTAGTGTAATTCTTGTGATAAGATACATGAAATTTCATTTTCATGTTTTACAAGATTTTGCAAATACACAACTGTAAGAGGTGTCTCGAGAAAACCAGCTAAGGTTGTTTGTAGTCCTTTTGTTGATTCTGTGACTTCAGATTCCCTGAAGGTGTGACAAAAGGTAGGTTCCAATCCCAGATGGAGTACTGTTATTATGGCCTTGAATTGGGAATTAGGTTGCTTAGGTCACTCACATTGCTCCAAATATAATTCTGAGCTCTATGAACACGTGCAAAGGAACTTGCTTTTCATAGAAGTGGAAACCACCAAGTACAGATGATTATTCACAGCATTAACATCTTGTAGCCTGGTCTTACCTGAAGTCAAAACTAAAGCCAGGCTGGGCCTGCTGCTGAAAATGATGTTAGTGGATCAATACTTTGCTGTCTTCCCTCTGGGCCAGCTGTCCAAGCAGGTTACCCTGTATGGTGACTGGGGATTCTGTGCTGTAGGAGGTGGCATCATTCAGATGAGACCTGAAACTGAGACCCCAATTACTTGGTCATTAAAAACCTCATGGCATTTTTCAAAAGATTAGGGGTGTAAACTCTAGTGTCCTGGTACTCTACACTCCACTGTGGAATTTGCCACTCTGGGTTTGTACAGCCTAAGCAGCATATAATAGCTGTGCTGCAGGTTCCCTTTTATGTGTGAAGGGCTTTGAGAAGGGCCTCCCTTTCTATGAAAACCACTATGTGCGTGGAAGGAACTATTATTAAATTATTGATAATAATAAATTATCAACAATTAAAAACCTCTGGTCCGAGAAAACATATGTGTGCTTTTATTATTCTTTTCATCTATTTCATTCTATTCTTTTCATCTTAGTTTCTCACCCTTTCTCATTGTCTCAGGTAAGACGTGCAATTCACAGATGTCTTTTAAAACAAGTATTTACAGTATGTGACTTAAGAGACTTGTAAATGTTTGCATGTCAATTCTTTTAAATGAGACATAGTGGACACACCTGTGAGATGATAAAACAGCTACCCACACTGACTAGGCCACTTCTGTTCTGCAGTTTTTATTGGGAAGTGGGAATAGGCTAAAATCCTGTTTGTCTTCTTTTTTGCAGTCAAAAATACATGCAGCGAGAAGCTTGAGTGAAATTGCCATTGACTTGACAGAAACTGGAACTCTGAAAACCTCTAAACTTGCCAACATGGGGAGCAAGGGCAAAATAATCAGTGGCAGCAGTGGAAGTCTCCTGTCCTCAGGTGAGTTCCTGTGTCCTGGGCAAGTTTTCAGGCTTCTAAGAGGGCCAGGACTTCACTTACTGCTGGAACCTTCAAGCTTTTTGTCGCTGACACAAATAAGGTCCCCCTCATTAACTAATTTAAAAATGTCAAAATGATCTCAAAAAGCAAACTAAAATCAAAGCAGGATGGAAGTGTTATAGATAATTGTGCCATTAATTATAAAATAACAAAAGAACAACTGAAGAGCATTAGCTTTGCTGTAAATGTCAGAGCCTGTCCATTGTGTAACAGTTTTGATTTTGCACACTTCCAGACCTGTGGTGAACGGTTTTTCTTTGTTTCTGGATGACTCCTGATTGGATACCACCTGAAACTACTTAGGAGAGTTGTAGTAGTAGTTGCTGTTCTGGTCTGCTGGAATCTGCACTTCCTCTCTTTTCTAAAACAAGCAAATATAAACTTGTGTACACATGACAATCACCGAGATAAAGACAAGAAATGCACATCATTGATCATATGGGGACAAACCGAGACTAGGAAAAGTAAGGGCACAAAAGAATGTTTTTCTTCCAGTGTTAAACAAAACACCCAGTGCTTATGAGCTTCAAACTGAGATGAATGGGTGTGCCATTGGTGTGAAGAAGTGTTTCAAGGTTTTGACTGGTTCTTGCAAAAAATAAAACTGTCTTGTCCCCAGCAAATTGTAACTCTGCTGTAACAATGAATCTCCCTCCAAGAAAAGTCTATATCTGGAAGAGAAAAAACTGACCTAGTCTTAAATAACCATGGTCTCTAGATTGCTGTATGTTGTTATTGGAAGAAGGCCTGAGTTTTAGTTTCATGTCCGAACAGAGATGTCCTCAAGGGAAATGCCATGTTTAATATTTCCCCATTAGAGCAATATGTCATGAGCATGCATCACCACTTTGAATTTATTGGCCACACATGCATACCAAATACTCTCTTAAAAGTTTGATGCGATGAGAACAAGTAACATGTTTGCTGTGATTTGTAAGCAGCTTATCAGTCTTCAGATTCAGTGTGGCCTGAAAGGACATTTAGAGAAGCAAGATCACAGTTTCTTTTTGTGAAAACACTGTTAAGTGGATTGATATACAACCCTACTGGTATTCTAGCATAATACATTTTAACGTAATGCTTTTAGATTTGATCTATTAGAGAATGTATTTGCAAGTGTAGAAACGTCTGTTGTGTCCTTGGTCAAGATACTTTGCTCAGATTGCTCCAGTAAAATGTTGTGTATAAATCAGTTGAAGTGTCACCATGGATAAAAGATGGAGTCTTACAGATATATAGTGATGACAATCCTATTTCTTAACTCAGCTGAACAATGAATCATAAAACTAGTTTAAGATCAACCTTTAGCTGTAATATCAAAGTGTTAAGAAAGTCATATACTGTACATGCTACTGAAAAAAAAGATTGGATTCATATAGAATGTGCACTTCACCTAGATTCCTTTTAATTTAGTTTAACATTTTGCATACGAGTGCTTATCCCGACTTGTCTTTGTTAGTTATATAGTTCTTTATTCTAAGAGCTGAACTCAGTGCTTGTATGGATTGAAGGCAGCCTGCTTTGTTACAGGACTTTGCAGGAAACAATGGCCAGCTTGTACTCATGTGTTTCTGCACATAATTGGATTTGAAGGATGTATACTACAGAGGGAAGGGTTCCTCCTAAAGCCTTTTCTTGTGAATCTGTGAGTGCAGTGGGGGAAATATCTTCTAGTCCCATGTCTGGCCCAGTGGTGCAGAAACACGTATACGAATCCTGTTAGTGAGGTCAAGCCACAGTTCGGAGAGCCAAACCAGGGGTGTGTCTTTAGTGCATAGTGAATTCTCAGAGGCTTGGCTATGCCTTATTCTGTTCCACTGCACATTACATTGTGTCAGCTGGGGAGCCTAGGGTAATAGCTTCATTTTCTGAAGGAAATACACCAGAGGAAAGTAAGTGAGGCACAATGATTTTAGCTTTCTGCTGGATTTATTACACATACTTCCTACCAGTCTTTCCTCCCTTTTCAGTGTGTTGTTTACTGAAAAGCCTGAAAACATCCTGGTTCTGTTTGAAGAGTTGTAGTTATTTAGCTAGTTAGGTGGTTGGTTGGTTGGTTGGTCCTTTTTGTTTGCCGAGATGGTCTGATACTCTTGAGACAATAAGGGGACACAGATGCCTTCCTGTGGTGTAGAGTTTCACATCACCATATGGTATTTCACCACGCCAAGGAAAGGAAACATTTTCACAACCAGTCATTTTTGCCTGATTTAAACCACATTAGCAAAATGACACTGGTACAGATTCTGTTTTTAATCTTGTGCCTTTTATTTTGTTTCAAACTGCTTTGCCTTTCTAATACCAACACAGTGTGACTGCATTTCGCTAGGCCTCACCTTCAAAATGTTCCCTGTGTCCACAATGGATGAAGAAATAAAGTGCCTCTTGAGACTTCTAATATTTACCACCAGCTGCATTTATACCTGTATTTGTACTCCTCGGAAAGCAAATAGAATAGTGAAGTGTCAGATTAGTAGTAAATACATTAATAGTTCTTTCTGACTTTTTGGTACAGAGTTTTTTTTGTTTTTCTAATGATGAACCACTTTCTGAATTTATTAATATCACTCCATACACATTTACATTTTTTTTCTGAAGTATTCACCAGGTTATAATGCTATTATTCACACAATTACAGGGAGGAAACAGGCCTTTTCATCTCTGTGAGGTACAGTATAACCTGGGGGGGACCTGTTCTTAACAGTGCTAATCGTTTGGAAATCACTGAAGCAGAGCAGACATGAAAGAAACAATCAGTACATCCAGCAGGCCAAGAAAAAAAATATGCTAATAACTTAAAGAGTAGATAAAATTCCATTTTCACGGTAGAGGGGTTTGTTTTCCAAAACAAGAAATAATTTTGGAGATAGCTGCATGACAGATAGCATCTTCCGCTTCATCTGTCTTCAGTCCTTTATTCACATCAAATCCATTTCTTTCTTGTCGAAATGTATAAGTGTTTTACTAGGAGCTGCTGGCCCTTGCAGAAAGTCCTTTTGATTAAAACTTTGGGTCAGGTTAAAGTTACAAATTTGGTCCTTAAAAAGATATGCTGTAATTTGGTACTCGGCAAAATAGCACATAAACATACAAAACAACATTAAAGAGAATGCGTGTGAGGTTTTCTATATTTCTAGATGAACAACATGCACTTCTTTTACCGTAAAATCAGAACATGCAGTCGGGTTTAAAATCCTGCGCTGTGGCTGTTTGCATAATGAAGGAGAACCGAAAGAAAGGAATGCTAACTAGACTATTATCATAAGGCAGAAAGCTGCACACCTCATCTCCACATTAACCAAAAGAAAATCTATAGGTCTTGCAGATTGATGTAAGTCTGTCTTTTTGTCAGTGTAACCAATCCAGGGGTAATGGATTTAAATATTTACCTCTTAATTATTTGCCATGGTTTAATTGTACCCCTGTCTATGTCTAAATATATAATATCTTTTATCTTGAGAGAAGTCAAAGAATTTCAAAATGCACCCCCACCTTGGGTTGACAGCTTTCTTCTGTAATGTCCCACCTAGTTACAGAGCTTCCTCTGCCTTGCTTTGACTTTTGTCTTGAAATATAAGTATTTTAAAGTAGTAATTTAATGTATTGTATAACAAGAGTGCAGGGAAAGGTACTGCTTCACTCTGGACATAAGAATATAATAAAGAAATAGATTAAAGATTCGATTTCTTTCACTTTCTATGTATCTTCAGTCACAATAATGACTGACAATGTGTTTATCTCTGGTAGTTTAGTTTTAGTGTACTGTAGTCTAGTTTGTGAAGAAGACATGACTGCAGGCATTGTACTTTGAGCTGTAAAGTTCAGTCTTGTAAGTGTGTGGTGGTTTGAGGCAGCCAGCCCATTCGACTATTGATAGATTTGTCCTTAGATTTAAATTTAATGTCTGCTACACTTATTTTAGAAAGTACACTTACTTTCCACTTGAATCCAAATAACTAAAATGGCTCTGTAGTGCCTTTATGTGCAGATTCTGTCAATGATTGTGGTATCAATACTGCCAAGTCTGCCAATTAAATATTCCTTCCTCTATTGTGAATAGCTGACATAGCTCATCTCACTGTATAAAAAGACTGCTCGCAATAATTACCCTATGTTTTTTTCCCGTTGGAACTATATTTAGACACTCTGTAATTATGTCCCACATTTTCTGCATTATTGGAAATTGCTGTACCACTTATTTCAATTCTGCAGAGGTTTGAATGCAGAGACTGTTTTTCTCTTTGTGAAATGCAGTGACCTTCCATTCTGCAGAACAGTAGTAAGTAAGAAATCAAGTAGAAAGTCAGATATCATGTAAGCTCAAAAACACACCACTTTCAGAAGATAAAATTGCCCTTCCCTGGTGGATTTTTTAAAATGATGCATGCTTCACACATATTGCAAGAATATGTGTGCACAAATCACATATACTGATTTTACTAGGATGGGCACCTAATACACCCTCTTTTATTGAGGAAAACTGTACAGTTATGGATAGTGTTTTGCTTAGAGTGTCATCTTATGGTACCTGCATGTTAAATGTACTGTAGCTTTTGAACACCTACCCAAGTCAGAAAAGTCTAATAGGATTTTAATCCTTGTAGTAATAATATTTTAGTTTCTGTTGGATGTTCTTAAAGGTTACTTTAAGTTACATACTGTATATCAGTAGAAATTAATAATGTACAGTATATAAAAAAAATAGCTTAATACAGTAATCAAGTATGGATGTATTACTGAATTACATTCCCTGAATTTACTGATATTATGTACTTGCAATGCTGTTTTCTGCTTGACAGTTTTTGTGTACAATTACAATGTATACAGTGTACTTTTTATACAGTTTATGTTCTGATGTGTAAAGGTTTGATTTCTCAAAGAAACTAATCATCTCTTATTCCTGGAGTTGGTCATGGTGTAATGGGCTGAGCAGGGCAGAC